CTGACGGAATAGATCCAGGAAGAAAACAAAAAATTTTTAAAAAAAACTACCAAATAAAACAACGAAGTATTAAAAACTAAGCAGAAGAAAGGAAAGCTAAAACAGAAGCATAGGAAAAGCTAAAAACGATAAAGAATAAGAGGAAACTAATATATATATACAAATAACCAATATCTGAAGAAGCTCCAATACATAATCCTGCAAGGAAACCTGAATCAACATAATAATTAGCTAACAACAGGTGTTACGCAGCATGAAAATTACCATAAAACAGAGCCAATAACTAACGGACAATAAAACATTAAGCATCCGTTATACAAATTTACAACACATGAAAAAATAAATTTTTGATCAGAGCTCGATAAACATCCCTGGAAACAAAGAATAGGCTTATGTAATTATCACAATAACAGGTGTTGTATAGCATGAAAAGCACGAAAAAACACAACCACTGTGGGTGGCAGATTTGTTAGATATTCCGGACGATAAAGGAAGAAAAAAATCATTAGCTCATTTAATGCTACAGGAACAAAAGGAATACAGATAATCAATGTAAAAGTACAAACTAAGATCTGGAGCATTACACATCATCACCGCAAATTAGCAAACTAAATTAATTTAGCCACAACGGAGGCACAAAATCAGCAAAGAAAATGGAAAATTTGGTACTCACCTATAGGAATCAACCATGCCAAAGATCAAATGCATGCATATAAATCTCCTTGTACGAAGTCGAATGAGCTGCTGAAAAAAGAAAAGCAAACGAAGAAAATTCTAGAATGATCCGTGAGAGGAAAAAAATTCAAAAGTATAAAATAATAATGGGCTTAAAACACGTAAAAAAACTCTAATAAATCAACCACAATAAAGAGCAAATTAACAACAACAACAAAGCGGTCAATTAAAAAAAAGAACAAAAAATGAAAAACGGAAAACAAAAAAGTGCATGAAACCCAAAACATTCATTCTGGCGAAAATAGAGGGAAAACCGCATACGAAATCCCAAATTAGAACAACCCAAAAAGCAAAGAAATAACGGCAATTAAAAAAAGGCACCCATGAAGGGAGTAAAATAAATGGAGAAAAAAATGACATCAAGTAGAAAGGGAAAAAGGGGAAAAACACATGAAATTCACGGCGGAAATCCCCACACGAAACATCATAAATAGAGGAAAAAACACATCCAAAATCCCAAATGAGAACAACCAAAAGACGAAGAAAGGAAAAAAAGGCGAAAAGGACATAGAAATCTCGGGCGAAATCCCTAATCAAAGCAGTAAATTGTGATTGAGGACGAATAAAAAAAGCCTGGACCGAAACGATTGGAAAGACCATAATGAAATAAGTAATAAGAGCAACCAAAACAACAAAGCAAAAGAGCTGCAGAGAGAGAAAAGAAAGGGAAAATAGAAATACAGAAAATAAGTGAAGCCCAGAAGCTTCATGGAAAGGATGAGAGAGAGAAGAAAAGGAACACAAAAAATGCCCTGAAGAAATGAAGCTAGAAGCTTCACGAAAAGGAATAGCAAAAGGCATATAGTGCTATTTTGAATCAAAATTACTAAAATACCTAAATAAAAAACAAAGTAGAAGTAAGCAACCAAAGATAAAACGGTAAAAACACAAATTTATTTTTTTTTTGATACTTTTTGTTTATAATTAATTTGAAGGTATGATGTGATATATTTCTGTGCATCTTTTTCAAGAAAAAAGCTCTTTTATACTGTTATTGTTACAGTACATAATTTCTTTTACTGATGAAAAATGAAGATAATTACGTGGTCATGATAATTGTATCAATTCAATCCAAATGTCAGACATTGGAAACGGTAAAAGAAAGATGACCAAATCAAATGACCAAAATGCCCAAAAAAAAAACACAGAAACAAAATAAAACTGAGGGTAAAACAGTAAAAACACTCAAAATGACACAGACGGTATAAAAAAAACTTAAACAGAAAGAAACATGGGTAAAATCGGAAAGTCACTGTACTCAGTACAATAACTTTCCTACCTCCTTTAGTAATAGGTATAATATGGAACACATCTAACACAAAATAAAATATTAAAAAAAATTGCATGTTATAACCCATTTAGTTCACACATTTAACTCAGTAATTTTGATTCTGAAATCAAATTTTGTAAAAGTACGAACTTTTTATTTCAAAGTTTCAACTCATTTTTAAAGTGATTTTAATTTGGTTCTCCACCAAACCATCATTGACCAACTCAAACGGAGGAAGAGGGAAAGTGATTTGCTGAGAGTAAGTATGCTAATGCTACCTCTTACCTCCTGTTGCCGGTAACATAAACGTTGAGATTTAAATTTTATAAGCGGACAATCTCACCAACCATCAAGAAATCTCAACCGTCGAATGCGAAGGCCAAGTCGTTTTTTCAAATTTCTTCCTCCACCGTTTCCTTTTTTTTCCCTCTTATCTGCAACCAGAGAAAAAACTCGTACAAAATCTTCAGATCAAAGCATTTTTTGAATCCAAACGAATCTCTAAGTTTTTGTCGATTGTAAAACTTCTTCATTTCTGTGAATCACTTGCTCCGATAATTTCTCAATGTTTGATGGAATTCGATTCGGAGACAATGCGATATCTGAAGAGCTAATTTTGATTTGAAATTTTGGGTTTTTGGTCGATTAGGGTTAGTAGGAGGAGAGGTGTGAAAAATTTGGGATCGGAATATTACGATGTTCTTGGGGAGTTATTGTGGAGTGAATTTCCATCAGGTGATAATTGAATTGAAGGAATTCGAATTTTCGACATTTCCGAGGAACAATGACAAGGCTGAGAAGAACTAGTGCCAAGAGAGCTGGAGCTGTAGATGATGCTGCGGCTTCTGATGGACCAAGCAATGCCTTCCAGAATATGAAGCCTTTGCGTGGGTAAATTATTCAACTCTTTTGTTTTTTTTTTTTTTTTTGGGTGCACATTTTTAGGTCTCATTCTTTGTTTTCTTTGGATTAGTGATTTAGTTGCCTTGGTGACTATTGATTATTTTTTTTCTCTTTTTGTAGGAGGACTAGTGGACCCACAAGGCGATCAACGACGGGAAAATGGACGGCTGAAGAGGTAATTGTTTTGCTCAAATAAAAAATTACTAATTTGATTTATGTCCTGTAAATTGTCATATATTCTTATGTTGATTCATAGTTTGCTTCTTTATTAGTTAACTACTAATTGTCATTCGTCCTTATGTTGATGCATAGTTTACCTAAAAAGAACTAAATTTCCGTATTAGTCAATACAACTATGAAATGTGGTTGAATTTTCCATTCCAAGATATGTTTCCCAGTTTAATTCATGTATTCATTTTTACTTCCTATGGTTGTTCAAATTGATTATTTTTCTTTTTTGCTTGCATAGTTACACAAAACGTGGAAAAAAAAGCACTACCTCTTGTATTCACCTTTTACGTCCTGTATTTTCCTCTTCATGTTTCTTTTTGTATCTTTTGCTAACAGTATGTTTTCCTAAACAGGACGAATTATTGACGGCGGCAGTTCAACATTTTAAAGGAAAAAACTGGAAAAAGATTGGTATCTCTTCCTATGACTTTGCTTAACAACCCGTTTTCTCTTTTATTTGAAAGTATTGTTTACCGAACCTCTTTGTCATTGCACACTTAAGCTTTTATATATTTCAATTCCTTGTATTGAATTTTTCACTATAGTTCAAAGCAGCAGAGTCGACTTATTTATGCCCGGAAGAAAAAACCTAGTAGTCGAAGTTTAATACTTGCCTACACGAAGTCTATTGTCACTCAAACTTAATATGTAAATTTTAAGCAGTAGTTTATGGGTTGGCTCAAGTTTCCTCGATATAGTTTATTGGCCACCACTTCTTAACATTTGAATTGTGTAATATGCAGCTGAATGTTTCAAAGACCGAACAGATGTTCAATGTCTACATAGGTGGCAGAAGGTTTTAAATCCTGAACTCATCAAAGGTCCATGGTCTAAAGAGGTAATTTTCTTTTCTAAAAGCACTAAACTGCATTTTTTATAGAGCCCCGCATACATTATGTTGCAAAGTTGAATAGCAGACAGGTTTCCTACAGTTTGTAGATGCATGTATATTGCCTCTATAATGCTTGATGGATGCCACTATCTTGTAGCTCTTTTTGGGTTCCGTTAGCTGATATCATGATATTAATTTGTTATGTTCATGAGCAGGAGGATGAAGCAATAATCCAATTAGTCAATAAATATGGGGCAAAGAAGTGGTCAACGATAGCAGCGGCACTACCTGGACGAATTGGAAAACAATGTCGAGAAAGGTAACACTGTCTAACTTATGATCTTATAGAGTGTTTTCCATCTCTCTTCCTCTGCGTTATTCATAAAAAAATCATTTTATTACCTAGTGAAATGTTTGAGCAACATTTTAGCATGGTACGTATTGTTTTAATCTCATATTCTCTTTCGTTTGTCATCATATGAAGCTGAGCTAGACTGCTTTTCTGGTTGCTCTTATGTATAGGTGGCATAATCATCTTAATCCTTCCATCAACAAGGAACCATGGACACAGGAAGAGGAGCTGGGTTTAATTCGTGCTCACCAAATCTATGGCAACAAGTGGGCTGAGTTAACAAAATTTTTGCCTGGAAGGTTGGTTTGTTGTTGAATAGTTAACAATACTTTTAACACAATCAGTGGACTTATGGGCTTTACAGTGTTTGCTTCTCCATCATTCTTGGCAGTTATTTTTATTTAGAAACTTAAGGGCTATGTTTGGAAAAGATTTTGTGGCTTCTAAAACATTGTTATCCCTTTTTTGCATCAGGACAGACAATGCAATAAAAAATCACTGGAACAGCTCCGTCAAGAAGAAGCTAGATACTTATCTGGCGTCAGGTTTACTTGATCAGTTTCAACGTGTGCCTTTTGTAGTGAACCCGAATTCAGCATCCTCTTTGGTGATGCAACCAGGCCACGTCAATGGGGTGGAAGAAGAAGACACGTCAGAATGTAGTCAAGGATCAAATGTTATCAATTGCGTTCAATTTGATCCTGTAACTGAGAATGCTGGGGAAAATTTTAACACTGAGGAAGCCAGTAGCAGCACAGGGCATAATCTGGAGCAATATTCAATATATGCAAATTCCACCCCAAATAAGGGTAAATTTGGTTCCTGTGAATTAGCCAGCACGTCTTGTTTGGGTGTGCCAGAGGAATCCTCAGTCCAGCTTGGATTGTCAGGACTCTGTATAGCTTCTAATGAAAACCATACAGAACCTACTCTGCCACAGAGTTCTGTTGGGTTCTGTACTTCTGATGGAGTGGAAACTTTGCTCGTTGATTCTGTTAAATTTGAGCGCCTATTAATATCAGACAACGATTGTTCTGAAATGATATGCACAGAGTCGAGGGAACCTGGATGCTTTCCCCAAGGAAATGCAACGGGACAATCAAATAATGTTGCCTTAAATGGTGGCAGGAGTTCATCACTTTGTGAATTTGATTATGAGAACTCGTTAAGTGCAAGAACATTACCAGTAGAGTCCTTTGTCCATAAAAAAGATGTTTCAGAACGGACTTTGGAATTAGAGGTAGTTCCAAATTTAAGAGATGACTTCATCTGTGTGGACTCTCCGACTGGGGAAGCATATAAAACAGATAACTATCGGAAGCTAGATGAGGCGAAGGATGCTCCAAAACTGGTGGCTGTGGATATATTTAGCAAACCAAATTCTGATTCTAAGGGGAGTAGTCTACAAACAGAAAACAAAACACATTTAAGAACAGATTTTTCACAGACTCTGTTTTCAATGGGTGACATTGTCACTCTACAAACAGAAAAGCAGGATCTGGGAAATCTCTCTTATGAGCCTCCCCGTTTTCCAAAGTTAGATATTCCTTTCTTCAGCTCTGATCTCATGGAATCTACTGGTGATATGCAGCACAACTATAGCCCGTTTGGGATTCGCCAACTTATGATGCCTTTAACAAACTTGTCCTCACCACGTTGCTTATTGTTGGATTCTCCAATTCGGGACAGTACTCCTCGAGCTTCACTAAAGCATGGTCCTAAGAGAACACGATCTATAATGAAAAAGCGACTGCATGAAATTCTGTCTCCAGCTGAAGGAAAAATGGGAGAAACAATTTTGAGGTCATCTAGCTTCTCCGCTGCATTTTCTTCTCTAGAATCAATTTTTGATGCTAATGGCGCATGCAGAATGTCCATATCTTCCATTGATGATTCCATGCAAGATGTTATCAATGAGGACTTCGAAGATGGAGTGAAAAGGGTCGATAAATTTGACTGCAGAATTTCAGATAAAGATGAAGGCAACACAGAGTCTTCTGACAAGCAAGATCAGGAGAGCATTAAACTTGATGCCGAGGCCAAGGTAGATAATTATGTCTTTAATCTGAATTCTGTATGTTATTTCTCAGAATGCTTTGACCATTTTACTGATTTACCGAAAGGCAACTACAAGACCAGGATATTGTTGCTGTTATTGTTTATGTAAAGGTCATTTAGTATAATGATTTAATCTTCTATGTCTTGTAACTGTATCAGCAGCTTACAAGAGAGCGTATTGAATGTAACTTGGAAGGACAGCTTATTGTCTCTCCTAGATATCAAACAAACAGAAACTTGGTGGCTGCTGCATTTTTGAGTCCCAGGAGTCAATATCCTAGAAAGGTGGACAGATCAGACCTACTTGACTCTTTGGTCTCCGTAATTGGAAAAGATGAAAAGTACGGAGTTCCAATCACATCTTCAGAATGTGCAACTTCATCAAAACCTCCAGAAATTACCTCTGAATTTGCTGCAAATGATGCTGATACTCAGAGCATTTACATGTAAGTTGCAGGGACATGAAGCTGGATGAGTTGCATTGTTCTTTTAATTTGTATTTTGTCAATTTACTTAGTGCAGCGGAATATGAGGCGCCGTAATGTGCTTCTTTCTAACTTAGAAAATGTCTTCACTTGTATCTATAGGTAGCATGTAGCTCATATTCCTGTTCTTGCAGTTTGAGATATTCGATTGCTTTTTGTGTTAGGTTTGGTGAAACTCCAAGTTTTCAAAGGGATTTGGAATCTCCCTCAGCATGGAAGTCTCCGTGGTTCTTGCAGTCTTTTCTTCCTGGACCTCCTGGACTAGATACAGACATTCCACTCCAGGTAGTCCAAAATGGAATATGAAAACAGTTGTATAGTATCGACTACCAATTATAACACAATCAGTGCCGGGGTCATGAATTTTTTTCAGTAGGGACACTATGAAAAATATAAATACATTAATATATTTATAAATTCCAATTATTGGAGGTAGGCAACAAATGCAGAATTTTCTCATAAAAGTTGAGTGTATTATACAATAGTTTTTTCTTCTTTTTATCTCATGATGCGTTTGTGTATGGTGGGTTAATTGCACCACTTCTGGATCACTGCATGAACTCCTTTTTAATTCCACTTCTTCAAACTATTATGCAGGAATTGGACTACTTTTTGTCTCCTGTTATGAGAAGCTATGAAGCCATGGCTTTTATGAGACAGATGTCAGAACAAGCAGCTGAATATTATCCTGAAATGTCATCCAAGACGGCAATAACCTCCACTGGCCAAGATTTGACTTGCAAGGACGATTCCTTTCTTCACGACGAGAAGGAAAATGTGCCACCTAATATCTTAGTATGTGAATTTTCCTCATAAAGCTTTCATCTTCCAATATTTTTTCATTATCTTTGTCATTGACTTCATCTTAAAACCATATTAATTAAAACCGAAAAATGCAGATGGAGAGACGTGTTCTTGACTTTAGCGGATGTGGGTCACCACCTATGAAGGAAATGGAGAACAAGAAGTTTGCTGAGAGTTTCACTTCGGCAAGCACTTCAAATCCCTCATCTTATCTGATGAAGAGTTGCAGATAGTTTGTTTAAGTGATTTCTTATATTTTGTGCTGTTTTGTGTGTCTATATTTGTACTTAATAGTGTCCTTATGTCAACAAGACCAATAGGGTTTTTTTGTTATGCAGAGTTGATGCTGAATTTGTCCAATTCGGCATATATATATATATATATATATATATATATATAGTACTTAGTAATATAGAATTTGGTCCAAAATTATCTGTAGAGGGTTTTCTTGTTGAAAATACAGTTATTAATCAAATAAACATGACCTTGGAAATTCTTGTGTGAACATGGGTGGAGATACACAACGTTTTATTCCATGGTCAACTTTCTTTATTTATTTTTAGCTAAACAAACAAAAGTAAACTCTAGAACTGAATTTCTCAAAAAAGAAAAAAAAAAAAACCCTCTAGTACTTAACCGTGTGGCTGTGGCCGGCTGGGCTGTGCCCTTAGGGCGTGATGAAATGGCCATTTGACATCGAAATATTATGTGGAGATCACGTTCCAATACATTCAAAACAAAATAATTTCGCAAAAATGACACTTTTTTTTTTGTTTTGGTTATTCGCTTTCTCAATTTTTGTTACTTCTTAAGTTTTGTACTAAAAAAGACAAGTGCAAATAAATTCATCAAAGAAAACTTATGGTTGACTTTTTCCCATTAGAGAGCAGAGAAATTAACGCTAGCCCAAATGTTTAAAACAGATGAAAAAAATTGCCTGTTTTCTATCAGAAACAATTGTTGGTTTTGTTTTTACGCTTTCCCGGGTATTTTGGCCAGCGCTGACCTGCCAACCACTCATAAAATAATCAAACAAACTCTTCAGAATTAGTATTCAACTCTTTTCCGTTTTTTCTGTTTATAAACTTTTTTCTTTCCTTTCTGGCACCCACGTTTGTTGGTTTTTTTTTTTTCAAGAAAAAAAAAAAAAACTGGATACAACTCTCCCCAAGCCTTTTTCTTACCAACTCATCAAAACATTGCCCAAGTCTAAAGCAACATTTGTAACGTATCATTTGGGTTGAAGGGTCTTCTTTGTTCTTGTTGTTATCCATTTTCCCAATTTAGATAAAAGAGTAAACAAGCCTAACACCCCACCTATTTTCTCTCTTGTGTTCGATTTATTATAAACCGAGCTCTGGAGGGCTCGAATTCACGATGGTTCGAGCGTTCTCTCGGCAAGAAAGCATTCGGAAGTTAAAGTCGTTTCAGCTAAAGAAAATGTTTGAGACCAACTCAGGAAGACATGCTCAGAGTTTCACGTTGGATAGTGGACGTGAAGGAGGTTCGGAATTAGACAGTGGTAATGTTAAGGCTCAGTCAAGAAGTTATGGCTCAAGAATTGGAGGAGACCGTCCAATGCACATGAATACAGGCAGTTCACTTAGAGATGATGATAACAAGGGTCCAGTGTCATGCTTGGATAATGTTAAGGCCAAGACAACAAGCGCTCAAGGTAAATACTATATTGCCATGTTATGTGTCAATATGTACATTTGGATTTCAACTCTGCACTTTAATGTCGCGTCAAGTCGTGGAATTACCGCTAGGTTGTGTCTGCAATCACATATCAATATGTATATTGTGTGCGTGTGTGCATTTGTGATGTGCTTTTTTTAATATGTATATTATGTTGTGTGAGACACGGAATTTGACCTTTTTATTTTATTTTATTTTTTTAAAGGATTGGTTTTAGATATGGAAATGATGAAGGAGAGGTTTTCCAAGCTGCTTTTGGGAGAGGATATGTCGGGGGGGGGAAAGGGGGTTTCCTCAGCTTTGGCTTTGTCAAATGCCATCACAAATCTAACAGGTAATTTATATGGCTTTGTTCATATGACAATGAAGAGAGACAACTCTAAATCATCTTTACTTCTCTAGTTACTATTCCATTTTCATTTGGTTCATAAACAAATGTGTTACTATTGTCAATTTGAAAAAAAAATTTACAACCCCATTTAAAACATATTGTCTCCTATATCTCAATTAAAATCTAAATCTAGAACATGGCACATGATCTTTTAAAGGTAATTATCCACATCTGGAGAGATCTTACAACCAAAAATTGACAATTTCTCATTTGGTATCGTTCCTTGCGGATTACAGCATCTGTTTTCGGAGAGCAGCAGAAATTAGAACCAATGAATCCAGAGAGGAAAGCAAGGTGGAGAAAAGAAATGGAATGGTTTTTATCTGTAACAGATCATATAGTTGAATTAGTCCCTTCACAGCAGAAATCCAAGGATGGAATTAACATGGAGGTGATAAACTCTCCCTTTCAATCTTTGTCCATCATCATTCTCCAGTGTTTTTATTTACCTTGACACTCTTAAATGTTTTGTTTTCTTGATCTTTGATAGATAATGGTGACTAAGCAAAGAAATGATCTGCACATGAACATTCCTGCCTTGCGCAAGCTAGACTCCATGCTTATTGTAAGTATAGAATATTTCATGTTTTCTAATCTACAAGGTTCATTGTTATTGAATGGCTCATAATGGGAAATCATCATCCTGGTACAATGTTGTTAAAGTATAAAACTATTGTTACCCCACTTCCTAACAACTTAACCTTTTGAGATAGATTGGTAAACTAACATGGTATCAGAGCGAGAAGTCCTGAGTTCAAACCCCTGTAATTGCACTATTTATCCCCATTTAAATTGTCATCAGTGTTGGGTTCACGTGTTGGGCTTTCCAATTAATTTACCCACACGATTGCCCATTGTCCAGCCCACACGTGAGGGGGAGTGTTAAAATATAAAACTATTGTTGGCACACCTCCTAACAGCTTAAGCTTTTGGGATGGATTGGTAAACTAACAAATGTATTTCAGAAAAATCTCATATGGCTGCCTTAAGGCCAGCTTTTTGGATATGAAATGTCCTTATGTAGAGAAAGAAAGAGGGAGACAGGAAGAACTTTCTTTTTTTAGCAGTTTTTTTTTTCTTCTTCTTTTGAAACTAATTTTTTGTTTTTAGTATGTTTTTTAGACGCGCCTTAAAAGATCTTAAAGTTATGTTTGTGAACAAAAGGGTTACTCAATAAGATCACTGAAACACGGAAATACTAATATGATAAAGTTACTATAGGGTACCATTATGATAACTTCCCAATAACTTAATATCAGACACTCTTTTGCTGATCAAGTTATGATCAACAGGGCTATTTGGACAACTTTGGAACACAAAATGAGTTCTGGTATGTGTCAAAAGACGCCAATGAATCTGAAAAAGGTAACTTCCAGAGAAAGGATGACAAATGGTGGCTACCAACTGTTAAAGTCCCCCCAGAAGGATTATCAGATGTGTGTAAGAAATGGCTTCACTTTCAGAAGGAGTCCGTGAACCAAGTACTTAAAGCAGCCATGACAATAAACGCTCAAGTATTATCAGAAATGGAGATTCCTGATAACTACATGGAATCCCTTCCAAAGGTATACGACTTAGACGCCTTTTTAGACCAATTACATCACTGTGAATAACCAAACACATTAAAATGATATTATTAGGATTCCTATACACAACCAAACATGATCATTCATACTTCCTAGGAATCACACTACTCTTTATCACTTTCCTAGTGATATGATTCCAACTGAGTACCGCATACTAAATACCCCCATAAAACTACTAGGCCGCCTCCTAGCACTTTAAGCTAATTAGGTATCAGAGCTGTACTTATTATTGCACGTTGGGCCTTTCATATGTTTGAGCTTCTAATTAAAAAATTCATGCGTTGGACTTTCTAATAGTAAGCTAATACATGTTTGTACATTGTCCGGCGTACACGTGAGAAGTGTGTTGGCATATAAAACTATTGTTGGCCCGCTTCCTAACAACTTAACCTTTTAAGAGAAATGGTAAAAACTAACATAAAATAATAAAACTTGGGTTCATTTTTTGTTTATATTTTCCTTGTGTAGAATGGTAGACACTGCCTTGGAGATTCAATATACAAAAGCATAACAGATGAATACTTTGATCCTGCGCAATGCCTCTCAACAATAGACTTGTTAACAGAACACAAAGTACTTGACCTGAAGAACAGAATTGAGGCTTCTGTAATCATCTGGCAGAGGAAGATGTCCCACAAGGATCATGGAAAGTCATCATGGGGTTCAAGTGTGAGCATTGAGAAAAGAGAATTATTTGAAGAAAGAGCAGCAACCATCTTACTCCTACTTAAACAGCGTTTTCCTGGGATTTCACAATCCACACTTGACATAAGCAAGATCCAATACAATAAGGTAAGAACCACATTGCAACCAATGGTTGTACTTTATATATATAAATTATGGAAATTTCAATGAAGGACCATTTTGGATCCTGCTCTTTAGAAAATGTCTAAATTTTTTTCTTTAGTTTAGTCTGTTCTTTTCGGATAAATCGATGATTTATTAGGGTGAATGATTTAATGAGTTGTTAAGATTAAATTGGTGATTTACTAGAATAAATCAATAGTTTTATAGAAACAGACATAAATAGTTTTACTGCTTGTCATGACTATCAATAGTTTTATAGAAACAGACATAAATCAAAAGAAAAAAAAATGAGGTTTTTAAACTAGTGCATCCTGAATTTATCAGTGTTTGGAAACTTGGATAGCAGAATTCCAATTTTGCAAATAGGATCTTGAATTTGAAAATCCGTTGCAATTCAATTGCTAACGGGCGTTAATTAGTTGACGAAATGGCCACAATTTGCACAAAATGCACCCGAAACGTTTTGTTAGTTGCAAAGTTGGACCCTGAACTTTATAATTTCAATATTTGGGACTATAATTGTCGTACGTTAGTTTAGTTGATAGAAGTTATGGATTGGACTGCCTTATCAAGGATTAACAAATTTGGGGTCCTACTATGTTTGGTATGAGGTTTCGTGCCATGATTCGTGGTCCGCTACAGTATTCTCTCACAAAAAACACACGTAAACCGAAAATGGTTTTGAATCATGATTCTGAATTCGTGAACGAAACGTCCACGTCCAAGTTAAAGTTTAGGGTGTATCCGTGCAAATTGCCTAAATCCCTTGCATTTTATGAAAACTAGTTTATGCAAACATCCCATTAAATTATTTCAGATTGCAAGGGCTAATTCTCTTTTGATTATACACAGGATGTGGGGTATGCCATCCTGGAGAGCTATTCAAGGGTAATAGAGAGTTTGGCTTCCACAGTCATATCTAGGATTGAAGATGTCCTTTATGCTGATTTTCTCACCAGAAACCAGGCATCAGCAGCAAAAGCCAATGCAAGGTTTTCAATGGTTTCTTCACCAAATGCTGAACCTAAAAAGTCCCAAAACTCCGAGGACGAGGACTCAGACGGCACGCCAACGTCGAGGACACTCTCGGATTTCATGGGGTGGAGTTTAGGTCAAGAAGAGGCTGATAATGAGAAGAAGAATGGTCTGAGGAAAGAAAGCCGCTTCAAAGAGGCAAGTGATCAAAATAAGCTCACGGACAAACCGGCTAACATCAACACAAAAAGGTTTTCCTACTTAGAGAAGCTCGATAACTTTAGTTTAAGAAGTCCGGCGGCGCGGCATTGATGAAATGACGATGGATGGAGAGGGAAAGAAAAAGGGAGACAGAAAGGAAAGAGAAGCAAATAGACATAGAAGATAAGATATAGATAGTTAGGGAGCTTGTTTTCTTTTTTTGTAAATATTGAGATCCTTGTAGGATAGCTTCCTTCCTACTAAAAGAGAGAAAAAAAGGGAAATAATTTGAGTGTTTGAAGCATTATATTTGATGCCAAAGAGACGTGCTTCTCTACATGTGAGCATTTTGAATCATCAATGTAATATGTTGTCTCTTTCTATCCAAATCCTCCGACTTCCAACACCATGCACTTTGCTTAGCCTTTGTTTGTTTCATAAGTTTTTTAACTAGAAAATTTTTGTTAGAAGCTTTTTTTTTACGGTATTTTTTCTAACAAAAATTTTAAACAAACTTAAATTTCTTTTCAAACTTTTGGACCTAACAGGCTATTAGAATTGAGGCTCGTTCAGTTCATAGGTTTGAACAAAATAGTTTAAATAAAAATTTAAATTTTGTAAGAGAAAATCTTATAACAAAAAGGTTTGAACAGTAATTCAAACTTTTTTTTACAATAATTCAAACTCATATTTTAATATAACACAAATACTAAAAGGAAATTTTCGCTAAATATTATTTACAAAACCATAAGTAGCATAACCATAGTCAAGGAAGTAATTCCAAAAGGAAGCAGAAGGATTCTGTTGGAAATTCTCATGTTGTTCTTTTGGTACGTCTAATGAGTGACAAGATATCATTTCCATGAGATCTTCTACTGCGGATAATCTTCCTTTTCTCCTGCAACACAATCACAAATGGTAAAAATGACTCAAAAAAAAAGAAAGAGAGAGAATGGAATACAAAATTTAATAAATAAGAAGAACTAAAAAGTTCAATTGCTGATATTTCAAAACATTACTATATATAGTTGAAACTGTATTAACTAATCTTCCATTTTAGATTCTTAGACCAACTCTAATACAAAAATGTCAATACCAATATTATTTGACTTATTTGATACGTGTTCTATTTTATCCTCCAATACTTCATAGCGCTAATAGAAATGTTATATATATATATATATATATATATATTTGTTGTCATAAAGTTTTGGTATGATAAAAGGTATAGTTTTACAAAGTGACGATAAATTTTAGTATACACATCTGCCAGATTTGACATTAAGATTGCATGGGAGAATACATACTTTTGCGACTCAAATGTCAATATATAATAATAGTCTTATTTCTAGTTTTACACATTGCAATGGTAAATACATCTACCTGGAAATGAAATAAGGGATTTGGAGCTTTGGAGAGAATTGAGAGGCCATCACGAACCGGTAACACTGAAAGACACGTAAAAGAATGATAATGGCACAAATGTCATGCTACAATAAAACTTCTATAAATTAATATTGTTGGGACTAAAAAAATATATTATTTTAGCGAGGTTATTAATTTATCGATACATAAATATTTTATTAATTTTAGAAGAAGTTTATATCTTAATAACTTGTGTCATCTTAGTACACGTGTTATTCTTTTCACCCACATTCATGTATGAGTTATAAATTAAAAAATATAGTGGGCATAGTCAAAATTAATATATTTTCATATAAAATTTCAATAGTTATCATGTATATAATAAATGTTAATAATGTAAGTGTACTGTATATAATAAAATAAGTACATACATAGACATAAAATATATGTATGTATTTTACAAATTTAGTACCTAGAAGAAAAAAACTCTTTAATATGATGATTTTTATATGTTATGTATTTTTACTTTTTGTATATGATTAGTTATTAATTTATATTTTCATTGGGCCTAAAGGATTTGCAAAAGAATTATTATCTTATACATTTAGCGAGATTATTAATTTTAACTCTGGTTCAAAAACTAGAATATATAGCTCTTTCATACACACGTGTGTGTATATATATATATATAAATATACTTATGTGTATAGTTGTGGGAGGAGAATGTAAATAAAATTACTTAAAGGTGAATTGGTTTGGTCCTTGGATAGAGCTGCTTTGTGAGAAAATGTGTACACGAAAAGTGGCATGTCAGCCTCTTTTTCAAACACATCTTTGTCATTGGTTTTTGTAGAGATCACTTCATTTTTAGAATCCCTGCATAAATTGGTCATTATTATATGTTATTCAAATGTAAAATAAAAGGACAAATATTTTTGTAGCTAAAATTCCCCAACTCATGGCTTTTTTTTATTTTTTTTTTATTTTTTTTTTGTGTGAGTTTTAAGCTTACCTAAGATCTTCATCTGATTTCTCAGCATCTCTGATTTCTGAAAAAATAAATAAACTACTTATAAAGGAATATAAATTAGAGAAAAGAAAAGAAAGCCATACCATCATTGCATGTTAAAAAAAGGATGGTATAGAATGTTTGTATTATAAAGACTAATATTTAATAATTACGTGTGGATAAATAACGAGGGTGATGTCTTGGGATGATTTCCTTCCATCGAAGCCTGTTTAATGCCAGCTTGTGAGCATATTGTTCAGACAAGAGAAATCTCTGCAAATATTAAAACAAACAAACAAACAAAAAAACAAAAAAAAAACTGTTGAATTCTTTTTCCTATGAAATATTTTAGAAATTTAGAGCATGTTATAAATTATAGTTATGAAATGTAAATTATGCAAGCGTCAAAAAAAAAAAAAAAAAAAAAAGAAGAAGAAGAAAAAAAAGAGAAGAAATTAAAATGACTTGTTTGAGAGAGTTGATTCGGAGTTCAGCATCGGAAAATGAGTTGGTGTGGGAAATGAGAGCATTCAGATTATCAGAGACGCATCCCAAATGATCAACGACCGTAACCATGGCTCTGCATACGTACTCCTTTGTACTTTCCACTGCACTGCAAACAAAGTTGTCGCGTTTTTTTAGTCAAAAACATGACATTTGGTGCCAATGTTTTCTAGCTCATGGGTTTAGGCCTTAGGCTAAAGGCTAAAGGCCCAATGAAAAGCTGTGGGTTGTTGTATGAGCCCAATGAAAGGCCCACTGACCCAGCATAATCTTACTAGTCATAACGAGAAAAAGCATTTTGTTTACAAATAATAAAAATTAGAATTATTATAATAATTAGAAAGATTCTCTGGTACGCCAGCATACTAGTTGATCAGGTTTTTAATCGTTAGATGTACGTATTTTTTAACTTTTATATTTTTTATGTAGATTTGACGGACATAAAACCTAATTTACTGATATGTTGGCGTACATGAGAAGATCCTAATAATTATTACATAATTTTTTAGTGTAACTCGTAAAGTTATGATAAGAATTACTTCGTAATTTTGTTCTTCATAAAACATTTAAAAAGTTTGCTACATTTTAATCATACTCTTAGAAATATGTATGGGCCGGTTTGAGGGAGCTTGCATTTTACTTTTAAGCAGTATGAAAGGAGAAACATAAGTCATGACTTTTTAATTAATGTTTGGATAGTACATGAAAAAGAACCTTTTATTTTATGAGAGCTTTTCCACTTGTTTGATAAATAAGTCAAAAAGCTCTTATTATTAAAAAATAATAATAATGTAATAAATGGATATGGGTAAAATTTTAATTTGTTATTCACAATCAAAAGATTAAAAAGGTAAATAAAAAAGTTTTTCTTAAAGTCTTTTTTTCATAAGCATCTGGGAGATAACTTGTTACGAAAGAACATATAAAAATTAAAAACCTTTTCATGTTATCTATCTAAACAGCCTTAAAATAAACTTTTGGACTAAATAACCAAAAAGCATTAGGCCCACCTATATAGGCTAGGTATTTGGCCATTTTGTGTAATTTTTCATAAATCAAAGTGGACAAAATGCAAAAGGAAATAGTACCAAATAAGAATGAGAAGGATATACTATTTTGTTCCATATTGTAATCTCATGTAGAACAATCTAGTTAAAGGTAGTTATGAAACACAATATTTAACTTCCACTTGCTTTTCAGCCCACCCAAAAAAAAAAAAAAGCACAGAGAGAGAGATCATTTTGGTAAAAAATTTTAATTGCCACTAGTAATAAAGTATCCCTTTAATTTCAATTCCCTCCAATTGTCTTCTATAATTACATTGAACAACTCAACATTCCATTTTCTTCAATCCTAGTTCATCCATAATTCCATTCAATTGTCATCATCTTCCTTCCATTTTTCTGTCTTACCAAGAAAAGGGTTAAAACATATCCTTTTGAAGGTCCTAAAGGTTTTTATTTTTTCTCATCTTTTTCAAGTTTTAGAAGAAAAATTAGATGTTTTACAAGAAAACTCAGCAAAAAAACACATGAGAAATACTCACTCTTTCTTTTCTTGGGCATTCAAGAATGTTGTTTCACAATAGTCAGCCGCGTTGTGAAGTTGAGAACGCAAATCTCTTAGCTCCTTCAAAAGTTCAAAACCAACCAAAATAAGCTTGAAGTCAAAGAGAAAAGAAGAATGAGAAACAAATAATTTTGTTAGGACTAAAGTTTAATGTACCAGAAGAGACTTGCCAAACTGTTTATCATCACTAAACTTGCTGACCAAATCCTTCTCTAAAGAAAACATGGAGTCCTGCTTATTCTCTTTTCTTTATCTTTCTCAAGAGTTAAAAGTGATAACAGTTAAAAACAAAGGAAATGCAAAAGCAACAACAAAAACTACAAGCTCGTTTTCCTTCTCTCTCTATATTTGAACTTGATGTAGATACGTGGCAAGTTTTGATTGTCTTGATATTATATATATATATATATATAGATACACACACATAAATATATATATGTATACGTGTAGAGAGAGAGAGAGAGAGAGGGACAAGTCGGTGACTGGAGGCTCGTGAGACACTCACTTGTAGTGAGGAAACAACAAAACCCCATAAAGCAAATAAACTCCAAAATCATCTCAAGCATTGGAACAAACAAAAGAGAAAAAGGAGCAAAATGACAAATATAGTTTCAGTCCCGTGATTTCGCGTTCGTTACCTTTTCATTCACTTTCTGATAAAGAGGAGAATATTTTAAAATATATACAAATAATTGTCCAGTCAGTGAGTGACAAGTTTTGTAGTACTGTGGTGGCATTGTCTCATGATTTTATGATGAAACAATCAAGCAACCAAACCATTGCATTAACTCCAGTAAATCTTTGTTGACAGCTTTGTAATAATAATAATAACATGATTTGGTCTCCGAAACTTGTAATTCCCTTTAGGGCCTACAATTTAATTTCAGAAAATATGTCAATATGAAAAACTTAAAAAAGTATATAGGTTAATTTTTAGTTTTAGAAATTAATAGGCCATAACTTGTTAAGTTATGGTTCATAATCAGATAAGTTATGGATAAATTTATCAAGTTATGGTTCATAGCCAGACAAGTTATGGATAAAAACCGTGAATAACCTGTCAAGTTATGGTTTATGACCAGACAAGTTATGGACGAAAATAATAATTTAACCTATTTATTAACTTATGTAAACTATTGACCTATTAATTTTAATTCATCTCAAGTCTTGGCCTATTTTCTTATTTCTCCCTTTAATTTCCTAGGTTGGTTAACCCAAAAGACAACTTGATTTTTTATTTTTTTTTATTTTTGTCCACTAGGTCAGATTGTCAAAAAGAATTGGACTCATTTTATCTTAAAAATACAATAAATTACAGCCAAGCGACAGATCCCATGAGGGGGGAAAAAAAAAATTACCCCAGATAAAGAGAAACTCAATACAAGGATTAAATCATTGGATACCAAAACCCCCCGCATAAATTAGTGCTCCTAAAAAAAAAAAAAAAAAAAAAGGAGAGATGCATCAGCTTTTCTCAACCACTGAAGGGATTACATCTAGAAATTCACTGGCTCGGGAAGCCAAAAGCAACTTTTAGGAAACGACGTGAAAAAAAGGCTCTTGGTCCTTGTGGGACTGAAGAAGATATTCCCGTGGCCCTTTATATCTGAAAATCAATGGTACATCCACCAACCTTCTCTGCAAGCTCTATTGCTGGTAGGATTGAGTGATCATCCGAGATCGTTGACCCCGACAAAATATCTCTGAGATGCTTGTAGATTTCCTCTGATGGAGGACTTGTGCTTTTGGGGTTGCCATTGTTGGATGGCTTTGGCTTGGTCTTTGTTTCCACAGCTGTCCATGAATGCAAATCACTTGTTATGGTGGAGTCTTTGCAAAATGTACTCTCGACATAGAAAGGTATTTTTAAAAGAACACAAAAAAACCAAATGTTGAAATAAATTCAACAATTGATTCCACTTAGAAATTACCTTCAGATCTAGTTTTAGTATCTTGTCTGGTCACACGTGATTTGGCACGCATGATACACAACCAAGGTCTCTCTATGTCATATTCATGTTCTGATGAAATAGGTATATGCCAGTGGCCTTTCTCTGATTCCTGAGAAAAAAAAATTCACCAAATGTTGAAAGACATGAATATGAACATACACGCATGAACAACCTTTTCTTAATAGTTCTATTCATACATAGAATGGACAAGCTTGGAGTTTAGTTCTTACTTGGATTACAACAGAACAAGGAGGTGGCATATGAAATTCTGGACCAGCATCAGAAAAACTAAAACGAACCTTATGTCAGGAAAGACACATTTTGTTAGGACAATTGTGTGTTAGAATATGAAACTGAAGAATATGAAATTGGACCGAGTGACCAATTGGATATAGCTTGTACAACCTACAAAGGAGAATAAAAAGGTTGGCTCAGAAGAGCTTTACTGACTTGGTGTCTTTCTTTCCATCTGGGGAAGAAATCATTTCCAAGAAGTTGAAACGTATGGTCTCTCATCTCGTCGTTCGTCACGATTAAGCACTTGAACTTTATAGCTGCATATAACCAATACCTGAAGCAAATAATCACGGAACATAAAATGCAGATGCATCATGCAAAAATTTGACAGTAAAATCATTTCTTCAAACAAAAACAAATTGCACAATCAGTACTATGACATCATGTTTCTTACCAATCGTCGTTCGACCCAGTAGGTGTTGCGTAGATTGCATCAGCATTTCGCCACTTGTCGATCAATGCCCTGTTGAATGGTTCATCCATCTTAGGTCCAGTTATACGTCTGTTATGCAAAACAATGAGTGGCCATTTCTTTGAGGGAAGCTTCGGTCTTATACCATTAGAAACAGCATTGATCTACAAAATCCATCATGAAAGGAAACGCTTATGACAATCACTATAAGAACAGGAAGACGGATGTTATAAATATTAGTATCCTACATTTTGTTAAGGCCATGGCAAAACTTGCCTTGGATGGCATGAATCTCTTCTGGCTGAAAAGTCCAACATTTGCTCCATCAACAACTGCTTCAAAAGGACCATAATAATCGAGCCATTTCTGCAAATCGAAACTTTGTTCTGTCAACCTTAAAGACTAACCCATAAAACACAAAGAGTATCAATAAGAATTGTCAAAGGGACTTGCATACTTGAAATTTCTGAAAGCTTGAATGCCTCTCTCTCTCTATGGCTATAGAAGCCACTGATTCGGCAAAGTTCTCTGTTTCTTTCGGATCAAGGTCAATAATAGCCAATTTCTCCCCACAGCATTTGCACAGCCCTTCAGCTCCAACAGTTGTTCGCAACACAGACCACTTTCCCCTTCCCAACCAGCCCTGGCCGTGCCATCCTCCGCCTCCATTAAGAATCGACTTCTTTATCAATCTTTTGTCCCCTTTTGTTTTCCCCACTCTTGAAGCTGCTTTGCTGTTAAACCAACTTACTAGCAAATCTGCAGTTAAGGGCGAGACCTTTCTCACACTTGCTCTTAGTTTATGAAGCAAATAGTACACTTTGTCACCCTTACCCACTCCTACACTAACTCTCAAAAGGGCCTGCAATTCAGGCTCTTCTGGATAGACACCATGCTCCAACATATGTTCCTCGACATCAAATGCTTTATCAATATCTCCACTGCTACAGAAGGCGGACAAAGCAGGACCGTAGGAACGCAACCTTGGATTTATCCCGAGTGACTTCATTTGCTTCACCATGTCAAATGCCATGTTCCCATTACCCATTGACATTGCCATTCTGGCCACAGAAGTCAACGCCGCTTCATTCATCGGGATGTTATCCAGGCGCATCTTCTCATAGATTTCAAATCCCCTCTGGCGCGCATATTCCTTTAAATCTTCATCGACCCGTATCTTTTGATCTTCTTGGTTCTTGTTTCCATCTTTCTCATCTGAAGAATCTTCATCACTTTCTGCAGGCTTACTAAGTCCATCCAGGACTCGGTAATTTCGCTTCACAAACCCATTAGAAAACCAGTTCAGCTTCTCCTTCTCACTGAAAGTACCATCAAAATTGACATCTCTCCTATTACTAGAATTTAACTCAACATTGTCACCGGTCCCACCACTTCTACTACTCTCAATCAGATATCCATTGTCAGAAACCGATTCATCCAACTCCCTACCATCCGAACTCATCCTAGATTTATCCAAATCCACAGAGCTCAAAGTGGACACTTCATCGGACGAGTCTAAATCATTCAAAGTCCGAGAGCCGCTCCCACTTTTAGCGGGGCGAACAACACCAACAGCAGCAGAAGAACAAAGATATAATAACACAGTATAATGGTACTGCCCAAGCTTGATTCCTTCTCTTTGAGCCAAATCATAGAACTCAATTGCGCTCATGACATCTCCTCTCTTTGAGCACATATCCAATCCAACTCTCAACCGAACTTCTTGAGAATCTGTCTTACTTTTCTTAGACCCTTTTCCCTTCTCTCTCTCTTCCCCCATCTGCTTTCGGCTTTTCACATTCCTAACTTTACTTTCCGTACTCCCCAAAGATTTCACCGCCATATTCTTATCTGTAGACATCACAGAAGAATTCCCATCACCCATTTCCCTCAGCTTTCTTGAATTCTGTTCTCTCTTCGTAGTTTTTCCCTTGGTGAACTTAATACCATTATTTTCTATCCTTTTTTCCTCCGCCACTGAACTAACATACTTTTTCCCAGATTTTTTAGGAAACACAATTCTGTTTTCTTTAAAAGTTCTCGAATTTATGGTTTTTGTGTATGATGGTTCATGGTCTGTGGCAGACAACTTTGCAGCAACAACACGGCTAACATTTTCTCTAACTAGAAGAAGTTGTTTGGGAGGTGAGAAAATTAGAAAACGGGTTGAGTAATGGAAGTTAAAAACATTGAGAGTGCAAGGATACTTACAGAGAGTGAAGGGAAAAGGTTGGTGCTTTTGCTGCAGATAGTTGAAGGTGGAGGAGGAGGAGGAGGCCATGTGTGGCCGTTGGAACTGGAAGGGCCCTATATCAAAGCTGATATGGTATTAATATGTATGAAATTTTTTTTTTTTGATAGAATAATATACATGAATATTAATACATTTAAAAGCATTATTTTGAAATAAAAATAAAATTTCAGTGTATGGGATTGGGTATGGAAGTTTTTATAGTGGAAAATAAGGGTGTTCTTTTGCTTTTTTTTTTTTTTTTTAGTTAAGGTGACTTGAGTGATGATTTTAAATTGAGTTTGAGTTATAACTGGAGTTGAAGTTATAACTTGAGTTTGTGTTTGGATGTGCACATTTGAGTTGTGATTTGAATTCAGGGCCCGTTCGGTTCGCTAATTCGAGTTGAGATGTGATGTTATGTGAGAGCTTTTTACTTTAACAAAAAAGTTAGATGTGATCATTTATGAGAGCTTTTTACTGTAGCAAAACTCAAATTCTAAACTCGAATCTGCGAAAAGAACGGGGGAATCTTTTTGAGTTTGTGTTTGGGTGGGTTAAAACTTAAATTTATATTTAGATAGTATTTTAATAAAAACTCAATGGTAATGAAAAATTTTAATACGGTATATGGGTGGGGTTTTATTCGTCTTTTCGTTGTAAATGCATAAAAAATCATCTCAATCAGAATTAAAACGAGAATGTTGTGACATTTTTAAGAATAGAAAAAATATTGTTCATTTAACTTGAGTTCGAGTTTATGAACTCGAGTTGAAGGGGAAACTTGAACTCGAGTTTAGCCATAAACTCGAGTTCAAACTCAAATTTTATAAAAGAACATGAACTTGAATAAAGTTGTAACTTGAGTTCAAAATTTTTTTGAGTTCCGTTGCAAAAGAACAACTAAATTCCGAATATTACAATAACGCTTTCGTTTTCGGCAGACTGGGTAAGCCTTTTCAATTTGTCCCAACTAGCAAGTAGGGTACTCACAAAATCCGTCAAATCACGAAAACCGGTCAATTCAAATTAAATCGCACCAAATCGTTATTATTTTTAAATTATTGAGTGGTTTAATCGATTTTTTAATTTAATTTTTTTGAGCGGTTTGGTTTATGGTTTGGACTCCCCAAACCGTCCAAACCGCCTAATAATCCGTTAAAAATATATATATAATTTTTTAAATTTTAAAATGTTATTCTATATTTATTTTAATTTTTAGTGGTCATAATAAAAGTTCTACACTTATTAAATACACCCTATCATATTTTTGTTGGTTTGTATTAAAACTTTAAATAGTGAACTGTTAGACATTTGTTATTTTTAAGTTATATTATAAACTTGAATCTTCTTTTATTTTTATTGTTTAATGATTTTATAATTTTTATAAATAATTGAAATTTTTTTAGTCTTAAACTTAAACATCATAAACTGCTTATGAGTGAGTTAGTTCAATTTGGTTTTTGTCAAAAATATCGAGTAGCACAAACCGCCCAAAAGAAAAAAATATTTTTAATTTAATTGGCGGTTTCTAAAAAAAAAAAAAAACCACCCAAACCAACCGCGAACACCCTTGCTAGCAAGTTAAATTTCTGATTTTATTTATTAGATAGTTAATTGCTAACTATGTTTTGAAAGGAAATGAAGCCAAATTCTGTTTTTCTTTTCCTTTTTTTTTTAAGAATAATTATTCTATTGGTCCCAATTGATTCTTGGAAAAGAAAAAAACTTGATTCTTGGCTTCAGGAGTGCTATATAAGTTATATGCCAACTATTGGGATTGATGTTTTTAAAAATTTATTGTAACTCTATTTGAAATTAAAAAAAAAAAAACATTTTATTAATGATCAATTTAATAATCATTCATTATAATATGTGAGTAGATTTTGTAAGGTATGAGTAAATATTTTAATACATATTAAGTATTCATATATAAAATACATTATTTGGAGGGACATATATATATAACATGGTTCACGAACTATTGGGCATTTCATTTTAATAAGATTGTGGCATTTCCGATTTATATTACTATTAGGAATGAAACGCTCTTATTTTGAATTTGGTGCAATGATAAATACAAAAGAGAAAAACATGGTATTTAGAATACATTAAGGACGTTTAGTATGAAGATTCATGCCATTCATAGTTTGTTACAGTGTTTTTTCTAAAAAAAAAAAATACACGCAAATAAAAAATGATTCTGAATTATAGTTCTAAATATATAAACCAAATATCCATTAAGAAAAATACGTCAACCGCAGTCCCAACAATTTTAGATATACTTAGAAGTTTGAAGAATCCTAACTGTAGCTAATTGATATACACATTTTGACCTCCTCATAAACTTGGGAATTTGGGGCCGCTCTCTTTCTTAGCTGACTCGGGGTATGATTTTTTTGGCTAAAACTCACTTAATTTGGGGCCAGGGCCATAAACAACCCTTGTTTGCTATGACTCACCTGTTCTGTTCGTCAAATTTTCAATGCCACTATAATGTAATTATTAGAGTTGGCAACATAAGTAAGCTTGCGAGAGGGAGTTTTGTGCCATTTTAAGCTAAAAGAGGCAAAGAAAGCCCTATTCTTTGGCGGGCAAATATGAAATTAACAAACGAATTTAATACACAAAACTCCATACAACGTAATAAAAAAAAACTCCGTTCTCTTTGTTGTTTTACGGGCACTAAGACTTTCATCTTTGTACCTCCCAAAGAAGAGACATTCAGGAAAGGAAATGAAGATCAACCGATAGGGGGTCCAGATAAACATTCCATCAAAAAAAAAGAAAACTCAATTAGAAAAAGAATCCAGACCACTTGATTCTTAAGCCTCTAACAACATTTTCAAAGCAAAATGTCCATATAAGAATAAGACCAACAAAGCAATCAAAATAGAAAACTTGTCACAGGAATACTGTTAAAAAGGCATCGAAAGTCCTGAAACACAGAAATCAAAAGCGTTAGAATATAAAACTTCACATAAGAGAAAAACATGATCTACTTGACAAACAAAAAGACCGACTTAGAACCGTTTAATGTTGATTCACACCACATCATCATCTTGCTATAGTTAGAAAGAAATTCTTTGTTAATTCATGGTCTATTCATCTATTGCATGTGTTGCAACATTCAGCAGACACGTCAATATCTCCTTATTATTCAGGAGAAAAAAGCACAATGTTCTTCAATTAAGGTTAGACAAAAAACAAGATATTTTTTCTTTCCCATTTGGTCACTAAGATCAAGGGCCTTTAGGAAAAAGGAAGTTTCTCATCGTGCTGCTAATGTAGGTTCCACCACTTACAATTTTTCAATCATCAAATACTCCAACACCTCTCTCTCTCTCTCTCCTTTTCAAATAGTCCCCAGACTCCCCACCCTATAAATAACTAAGATCAATCAACAAAGCGACTTCCACTTTAATTTTTTGTTTTACATTCCAATTCACATTTGATAATAGATCTTTATATTATTTCCGCAATCAAGACAATGCGATTATGGACCACCCAAGAAATTATTAATAAAAAAAAAAAGACAAAACACCGAACACTACTCAAAGAGTCGATGGAAAAATTTCGAGTCAAACCCATTTAGTATTGTCCTCCACTAAACGCATATAAAGGTCTAAATCTAATTCTAAATCAACTCTCACCTTAAAATCTTTCAAAAAATCTAATCTTTGATATCGTCACTATTTTTTCACTGATCTATGGGAGAATCTAGTTAGCTTAGATTACCTAAGACCTTCAAGCATAATCATCTTTTAGTCAATGAGAGAGAGAGAGAGAGACAGACCATTAGGAACCAATCCCCAGCTCTGAGATTCCATTGACAAGCTCGATACTAATCTGGCTGAAGCCACTGCACTGTGTAATGGCATCGTTGATTCCAAGCTGCTCAATTGCAGTGGTAATCTGATAATACCATACAAATTAAGATTTTTAATACAATAAACATACGGAAAAAAAAAATCAAAAGTTGAGATTTTTCTCATCCTTCGCCTGTTTGGTTCATAAAGAAAGCCGAAAAGCTACAGAATAGTAACCAAAGTTTTTTCACTCCAGCTCACTAAAGGGACTAATTTTTCTCATTTATTAGTGTTTTAGAGCTAAAATCAAGGTATAATCTTTACAAGGTGAAAATTTTCCTTCAGTTTCTCGGAAACCAAACAGAAAAAAACGAGAAGCAGAAATCTAACCTCGAAATGCGAGAAATGCGTCTAGCGGAGAGAGACGTCTCGGAGCGAGAGGTCGATTTGAGCGGAGAGAACTCCGGCGCCGTCGAATTCTTGTTCGTATTGAGAGAGAAAGACCGTAATCTAGACGAAAACCTGGAAAAGACTCTCGACGACGCCATTGGAGGCACTCTCTTGTACTCTTCTCAGTTCTCACCCTTTCCTCTGTATCGTATTTAGGTTTTGGAGGTCCGAAACTTGCTGAGATAAACGACGTCGCATGCGATCCCGTAACGACAATTGGATTTTAAACGACGGCCTTTGGGTGAAAGATGCCGTGTGTAACTGTATCAGTGGGTTCTATAATCTAGTGAGGTTCAACCACAGGGATCTTCCACAGGTAGCAAAAGTTAAAGCAATATTATTGGCTATACCCAAGTCTCTTTCACACCTAATGTGCAGTTACTTTTATACCGAAAATAGTGCAATCGGATTATTCCACGTATACAGACAAATAACCTTAACAACCACTAATCTGAATCTGATCTCAGAGTGAAAGTGTCAACACGACAACGACGGTGACATGGCGTAATTTAATATAATAGTGTTTTATATTCCTTCTTTAAGAACAAAAAAGGAAACAAAAAGCTCATAAAAAAAACAAAACAAAAAAATATCAATATCAATATAATAAAAGCTTTTTCCTGCGATATTTATCAGCGTGGAAAGAAAAACCAAAGCTGTTCTTTTGATCTTCTTCATATTCATCTTCATCTTTATCTTCTCGGAAACGCCATGGCTAGGGCTACTGTCACCATGGAGGTCGGAAACGACGGCGTCGCTGTCATCGCCATCTCGAATCCGCCTGTTAACGCCTTGGCAATTCCCAGTAAGCCCCGAGCTGAATTTCCGAGCTTTGTTCGTCGTCTTCTTCTCTGATCCATTTTTTTCTGGTTTGTTTTTATGCGATTTTTGGTTTTCGTGGTGTAGTCATCGCTGGATTGAAGGAAAAGTTCGATGAGGCGACGAGGAGAAATGATGTGAGAGCTATTGTTTTGACTGGTGAGCTATATATATGGTGTTTGACTGTTGTTTTGTTAGATTCTTTGGAATATATTAGAGTTTATTTATTATTTTGCTCTAGAACTATGTATTTGATTTCCTTTTTTCTTTTTCATTTTGCGTTTAAGATAGTGTGTTCTGATTATTGTTTATGGTTTTTTGTCATTCAATGAAGGCAAAGGAGGGAGATTTTCGGGTGGGTTTGACATTAACGTTTTCGAGAAAGTTCACAAGACCGGTATGCGAATAATCGACTTTGCTTTGTAGTCTGTTCGGTGGAATTTTTTTGTTAGTTGGAAGATAGAACTTGAACTGGTGAATTGATAAATTCAGTTTCGTGTATTGTTTGGCGTGGCAGGGGATGTTTCGCTTATGCCTGATGTTTCTGTTGATCTTGTGGTCAACGTGATTGAAGGTCACTACACAACCTTAACTCGATCGTAGTTTTATTATTATTATTTTTTTATTTTTTATTTTTGCAAATAAAGGACTTATTTTTTCATTTAAACTTTTACAAATTATGGATATTTAAATTGCTTTCTTGTTTTGTAACCATAGATTCCAAGAAACCAATTGTTGCTGCCATAGAAGGACTTGCTCTTGGAGGCGGCCTAGAATTAGCAATGGTTTGTTTTTGTAGCCCAGCATCAACATCCCAAGTTTTTTGGTGCATAACTTTATTGTGATAGTGTTTATATTTTACAAATGCATAATTCTAGTTGACCTCTTGCAGGGATGCCATGCTCGTGTTTCAGCTCCCAGAGCTCAACTTGGCTTGCCAGAGCTTTCACTTGGTATTATTCCGGGGTTCGGAGGTAAATTGCCTCATACACATCAATTTCTGAGTTCTCAAATCATAAGTATTCACTGAGTTATTAAAAGAATGGTTTCTGTTTGTAAGGCACGCAGCGTCTTCCAAGGCTTATTGGGCTGTCAAAGGCAGTTGAAATGATGCTGGTAAACTACCTCCTTCATTTCCCTTCATTTCCCTTCATTCCTTTTATTTTTCCTTGGTTCCTTCCTTAGTTCTGTTATTAATGGAACATGTACCTGTTTTCCTTTGCTCTCCAATTTGAGATAGATTTTTAAAGGGGAGTGAGAATAAATTTTGTTGAATGAATCATTTTAATGGGTTGAAACTGTTGAGAGGAACAAAAGAATAAATAAATAAATAAAACAACAGTGCGGATAACACCGTTCCATTCTAAATGGGAATAACATGTATTAATAGTGTTTTAATTAAAGATTCTGAACTTTAATTAAATTCATTATGAACATTGCTTTTTGATTATTATCCTTAAACATTATCCTCTCGTATATAACACTTATATACAATGTTTAAGGTTACATAAATAACCATGGAATTTTTATTGATATTCATAAAATATTCATAAATATATGCACATAAAATAATGAATAAACTCTTTTATTAAATAAATAGTAAATATCTTATTACATCTTATGCTTATAGGACACCATTCCCAACAGATCATGCGCCCACTCGCCCTAGAGTTGCTTACTTGAACAAGTGAGACTCCCTCAAAATCGTGGAGGTAGATAGGGAACTGTTGCATGAGAGGTGGTGGGATGATGTGTTCTGCAAGTGCTTGGGGCACTTCAAAATTCTTGTCAACGTCCGATGATGAAAGCATCTTGATGCAAATCAAATCTTCATCATCATATTGGGCCACGAGCTGTGGTGGCGGTGAAGGGTGCGGTAGCAGCTGCAATTGTAAAGGATTAAGAGGAAGAAATTGTTTAATTTTGGATCACTAATTAATAGTGAAGAGCTCCTAATTTGATTTGAAGAGTTGTATAACAAAAAATAAGAAAAAAAAATACACGAGTACTCACTGTTTTCTTTTTAGACTTCCCCTTCTTAAGCAAAAAGTTCAACATAAGTGACCTCTCAATCTTCAAGTGAATCCCTCTGAAAGATCGCTTCCTGACAAATCATCAAATTTGTGAGGTTAAATAAACAACAATGCAAATAAGCAAGCTAATAAAACTATGAGATGGTAAAAGAAAACCCCAGCCAGGCATGTGAAATAATATTGGCATTATCATTCCCTTTTCCAATTACCTCTATCTGCGTTGACCCAGCTCCGTATACTTACCACTTTTTTTTTTTCTTTTTATGGCCTATTCTTTAATGATACTTTTAACCGAGCAGGGTACCAAGCCAGCTTCCACTTGTGTCTCCTGGGCTGGTTGACCCTTTACCAAACCAAATAGGACAAGTCCTAACTAAAAGTATACCAAGCGGCTACCTTAAACAAGAAATTCCAATCACAATTCACACAGAATACAATAGTTCTAAGACGGCAGAGAAGAAATTCTAATCACACAATATACAAACAGTTCTAAGTTTAATATATATATATATATATATATATATATGTCTATGCGTCTTTCATAGTACTGCCTCTGTTGGAGAATTTGAGTGTAGAGGATGAAAAGAATGCAGAAAACAAGAGGGTTTGAGGCGTATAGGAATACTTTCCTTTAAGGTTTTATTTGCATTCACTTCTCAAAATTTGCTAATGAGTTTCTATTACAAATTACCCCCAAAATACGATAAACCCTTGAACACAATATCTAGCAACAATATTGTGTTCCAGAACATGAATTAAGTCTATAAATTTTCTGAAGAGTTAATAAAGACAGAGATGCCATTTCATGAATGAACACATCCTCTTCAAATATCACAACCGTTCACATAGAGGTACCGTTTCAAAATAGAGGTATCTGTTCATGTATTAATGCATCTATTACAATAGATATGTCTATTGCTAATAAGTATTCAAAAATGTATGAAAACATATCACAAATTGTTGCAATGATTCGGCACAATTCAAATCACATAAAATAAAATTGCACTATAACTGATATAGGCGCTACAGCAGGACCTTCCGGGCGCTGCAGCGCTTAGGCCCGAACGAAAAGACCCAAACGGAAGCAGAAGACGCGCTGCAGTGCGCTACCTGTGCGCTACAGCGTGCGTCACAGGCGCTGTGGCGCCCACTTTGGGCGCTGCAGTGGATCCTGCAGTGTCAACTATACCAAAATGTGCAGTTTCCTGCTGCAGCGCATGTAGAATGCGCTGCAGCGCTTGTGCAATACTTGCTGCTGTTTTTCGTGATTTTTTCAGCCAAAAAATTGTGTAGAGACATATTACAATCTCTTTAACAGCCTCTGCCTATCACCTGGCAACATGTGTGCTTCATCCTATGTTGAGAAACAAACATGCTTGGTTCACAAGCTTTTGTTACTAAATATTTTGAAGCAAGTCGTGCCACCTGTTTATGACTATGCTAGTAGCTGTATTTTCATTGCAGGAAGCAAGAGATTTTAAGAAGTTGGTTCTATCAGACACCTCAAAAGGTCTTGTTCATGTCTTCTTTGCACAACGTGCGACGTCTAAGGTACAAGGTTCATACTAGCACTGCCTTTTTTTCCCTCCTTTATGTATTTCTTAACTTCAAATTTCGAAGATCAATGATTTGGTGGATCTTATCGTTGGTAAAATGAATTGATTTATTGCATTAGTTTTAATTGTTTTCCTTTGGTTAGTTTTTCTTGAATAATTTCTGTATTGCAGCGCCTCTTTTTGTTTCTCACCATGTTTGCAACCTACAACTAAAACAGGTACCAAAGGTTACTGATATAGGGCTTAAACCAAGGCCCATAAAGAAGGTTGCTATCATTGGAGGAGGTCTGATGGGCTCCGGCATAGCTACAGCTTTTATTCTGAGCAATATTAGTGTTGTTCTCAAGGAAATCAATAATGAATATCTTCTAAAGGGCAGAAAAATGATAGAAGGTGGGTTTTTTTATACAGGTTCCTCTTCAGGCTTACATTTTATGGTATGTTTATGATGATGAATGGTGGCAATGATTTTGTATTTATTCATTTTGTATACGTGCTCATTGCTAGAAAAGTTAACCTGGATAGTCCTTAGACTGCAAGGAGGATAGGTTTATATATTACATTAGAATTCACTCTTTTATCAGAAAAGTGACCATTGTTGTTTCTTTGTTTGCCTGTTCCTAATCCAGCAAATGTTCAGGTCTTGGTATCAAAAGGGAAGCTCCCACGGGATAAGGCAGACAAGGCACTCTCACTACTTAAAGGTGTTCTGGATTACACAGAATTTAGAGACGTTGATATGGTCATAGAGGTAGCTCATATTTCAATTGCATCATATAATTTGGAATGTAATTTTCAGGAGTCAATGTTAAACGTTAAATGAGTTCTTGTGATTATGTCTGCTCCCTACTTAATATCTTGCACATTTAATGATGCTGAGAAATCTTGTAAATCATTTAGTCTTTATGTTTTTAGTGCCTTGCTAATAGGAAGTACTTTAATAGAGTTCTTTTTCAAATGCAGGCTGTTATTGAAAACATCTCTCTTAAGCAAACAATATTTAGTGAAATTGAGAAAGCTTGCCCTTCTCACTGCATATTGGCAAGTAATACATCTACCATTGACCTTCGTCTAGTTGGGGAAAAAACAAGTTCACAAGATCGCATTTTGGGGGCACATTTTTTCAGGTAAGATGGCTCCTTCATATTTTCCACTAATTCTTGCCATATTGTAACTAAAATAAAGCTTAACAAAATTATTAGTTATTACAAGTATTAGAAGATGCTTTAGTGTCGATTTCTGTTGACATCTCGGTTATTGTTTCCTGAACTGATAGCATAAATCTGAAGCATGTCTTGTGCCATCAACCAAGCATATTGTACAGTAGTAGTTCCAATATTTTAAAATTTACTCTAATATAACCGTGCAATATGTGTATACGCATTGTGGTATACAAACAACTTTTGTTAGGGATCTTTTCTTTGAGAAGCCTTTGATAAGCGTCCTATCTTCATTAAGTAATAGCACATGACTATGTTTACGTGTTCTTCTCTGAGTATTTGGTGATGTGACTCTTTAATGGCAGTCCCGCTCATGTGATGCCTCTCCTCGAGATTGTGCGGACAGAGAAGACTTCACCACAAGTGATTCTTGATCTTATGACGGTTGGAAAAATCATAAAAAAGGTTCCTGTAGTGGTGGGGAACTGCACCGGCTTTGCAGTTAATCGAACTTTCTTCCCGTACTCGCAAGGAGCTCATATTTTGGTCAATTTAGGTGTGGACGTTTTCAGAATTGACAGGGTGATCACCAAGTTTGGCCTCCCTCTGGGCCCATTCCAGTAATTTTCTTTCTTGAAAAACTAGTTGTTTTGTACATTTATTCACATGTGACAAAAATCTATTCCGCGCTTTGGATTTTTTTCGGCTCTGACAGACCTCAAAAAATAATCTAAAAGATCTCCTGATAACGTATTTTGATTGTATATAATGATCTTGACATGCAGACTTCAAGACTTAGCGGGATATGGAGTATTTATTTCAACTTCAAAAGAATTTATTAATGCATTCCCTGAGCGAACATTTAAGTCACCATTGATTGAGCTCTTAGTGCAAAGCGGAAGAAATGGTGAGATAAGCTTCATAGTGTTCATATGCATCCTTCCCACTTCTTTTGGTTTTTGTGAATGCTTTTATATAAATTTATCATGTTAGCTTTCTTTGAACTTGTGGCATTTTGACATTCATATGATTTCTTCCCAGTTCTATTCGTTTTATGCATTGCTTTACGTTTATCATGTTAGCTTTCTTTGAACTTACTGCCATTTAGGTAAAAACAATGGAAAAGGATATTACATTTATGAAAAGGGAAGCCAGCCAAAGCCCGATCTGACAATACTGCCAATTATCGAGGAGTCTCGGCAACTCACGAACATTATGCCAGGCAAAAAGGTATTCTTTGTCTGCGTCAATATAAAGACCACCACTCGTAAAGATCATGTTATGAGTTTGCTCATTGTGTGTTGATTTACACACTGAGAGACAAAATCAAGTTCATCTCTTTTTGAGCATCGATTGAATAGTACTTGATGTTCTTATTGGACCATGGTGACAGCCCATATCTGTAACAGACCAAGAAATTGTGGAGATGATACTCTTTCCTGTGGTGAATGAGGCATGCCGTGTTTTGGAAGAAGGAATAGTTGTCCGAGCATCAGACCTTGACATTGCATCTGTTCTTGGGATGAGTTTCCCGTCCTACCGGTGAGTGGTTTTGTGACTATGACCTTTCTACTCACTTGTTACATGGCAGAACATTTTTTTAGTATTCATTCTAAATACTTTCTTGACATTTAATCTGGTGAACAATTGTGTATATTCTTCAATATCATCTCTGTCTGCTTGTGCGTTGTGAGTTCTTCCCACGGCAGAGTTGTGAGTTGTAACGCTGCCCACTGTTTTCCATTTCCATGACCAAGATTTTTTAAGCAACAGAGAGTGGAAAAAACAATCTACACGAGAGGAAAAAACAATCGTAGAAAGGACTATTCTGGATCAAATTTCAACTCTGAATTATAGCTATGGAATTTCTTATGCCTCTTATACACATGTTGCTGAAAAATTACACGCTCAATTGTTTTGTCTGAAAGTTGTCTTCATAATTTTAGTATCTCACAAGCTAATAATGTGGTGATAATCTCACATTAGTCTTATCTTCTATTGCAGGGGTGGTATTGTTTGTTGGGCAGATATGGTTGGACCTAGGCATGTTTATTCAAGTCTAAAGAAATGGTCTGAAGCATATGGTGACTTCTTTAAACCATCAAGGTATCTGGAAGAACGAGCGACAAAAGGCATACCGCTGGTAAGGACACTCGGGTTTCCCCCTTCTCTTTAACTGGCTTTATTAGAGCTTTTTTCCTTTCCCACCTGTAATTGAACATCAAAATATTGACCTTCTTTAGGTAACTTAAATTTACAATATTCTTGAACCAAGACAAAAACAAAGAGAAAAAATTGCAGTATTGTTTTGGCACGTCAATGCTGGTCACTTCCTTGCTAAGTCATTGTAGTGTTCCATCTCAAATGCTGTCGACTCATAGATCCATCTCTATTCATCTCCTAAGCAGTTTTTATCTTTCAAATTTGAGGAGGAAAATCAAGCAAAAGTATGAAAGAAAAATGCCAAGTATCACATCACTTGCTTTTCTACCAATTAGAAACCTCAAGAAGTCGAAATATAACTGTGTTTCCCGTGCAAAAAAAAAACAAAAAGAAAAAGAAAAAGAAAAAGAGAGTTTGTGATTGGTTAAAAAACAACTACATAGAATCCTCATTATATCAATGCGAAGGAAGATACTGACCCCTTATTGTATGTTTTCTTTTTCCTGCAGAGTGAACCTTCTTCGTCATCAGTGACTTCAAGGGCAAGATTGTAAGCAACAAAAGCTCTCTGGTCCTCGACTTAAGTGGTTCTTAGGGTTGACGAGATTGTGTTGTCTCTTCCTAATAATATAGTTAAAATAAATGCTATCAGAATTCACTCCAAAGATGTACACTCTTATATTATCTACCTCTTGAGAAGGCTGTTCTGTAAAATATACTATTGGGAAGTGTATTAGAGCATCTCCAAGTTAAATTAATGTGTCAATTGCCTCATTATCACAACAACAACAACAACAACAACAAAAAGCTTCAATTGCCAAGTTTTGTATTTGAAAAATGGAAATCATTCTCCAATCTAATGTTGTTTTTGTACTAAACTGGCTTGTGTTGTATTGTCAAATTTAGTACTAAGTATAGCACATGTCCAATTTTGATGTTTGGTTGTTATTAATTGGCGTTCATAACTCCAATAAAAAGTAGGTATAACATTTAAAATAATATTGTGCATTGAAGTGCAAAATAAAAAATCTATTAAATATGTTATTTTCACACTTTTGTGTCAAGTATATGTATTGAAAACAGCAGTATCGTGCATACACCACAATATTTGATAAAACGATGAAAGGTTGAGCTAACGACGGCATTAAATATATAATCTGTTTAAAATTCACAACAAATTAAAATACTATCAAACCCGTTTGATTTGTTAGTTTGAATTATGTTTATTTAGACTTTTTTAATTTGAATAAAAAAATTTAAACAATATAATTTAAACAATAGTTTGAATTGACATTTAACTGTGCATTTAAAATTTTAATTTGAATAGAGAATATAATCTAAATTAACGTTTGGATTAGAAACAATTCTAAAAGCAAATTTGAATCTAATTGAGTAAAAAATAATAATTTTTATCTTTTAAAAAAAATGATTCTGCATGAGAAATAACACAACACCTAAAAGGAAAGGCAAATCATGAAAGAGTGAGTCAGTGCACGTGAGGTTTTCTTTTGGCCATGATCCTATAGCTCAGTGCACGTTGGTATTTTATATAATAAAAAAAATATAATAGAGAGGAGCGAATCTTGAGCAAGGGAATAAAGTGGAAATACTGTAGAATATGGTTTGAACAGCAAAATTAAGGGAGAAAGAGATTAAGGGAGAGAGAGAAATATGTCAATATTTGAGATGAATTAAAATTAATAGGTTAATAGTTTACATAAGTTAATAAATAGGTTAAATTATTGTTTTTGTCAATAATTTGTCTGATTATGAACCATAACTTAACAAGTTATTATCCATAATTCACAATTTTATCCATAATTTGTCTGGCTATGAACCATAACTTGACAAGTTTGTCCATAACTTATCTAATTATGAGCCATAACTTGACAAGTTATGGTCTATTAATTTATATAACTAAAAATTAGCCTATATACTTTCTTAAACTTTTCATATTAGCCTATTTTATACTATTTTTCCAAAATTAATGAGGGAGTAAGACTTAGAATTTGGTCGTTTAGTTTGAAATAAACTGTTCATTAATTTCAAATTAAACATCTTATGAAATGCATATTTAAATTAAGTGAATATTTAATTTATAAATTCAGAATCTTAAATTAAAATCATCTTTAATTTATGTATATTTTTTATATAAAAAATATTATAACAAATTATGGATTATAATTTAAATTATAACACGAATTTTTATATTAAATAGCGCGAATCAAACACGGGCTATATGTAGCTATAAATCCTACTTCAACATGTCTGTCACTCTGTCTGGCTGCTTAACTTTTTGGTTTCAAAATACTGCTGTATACACGTGTCAAAAACAAAGAAAGAGTTGTGAAAAGTTGCATGTACGCGTGTAGATATTCAATAATTGTATGCACACGTGTAGAAAACTTAGGGCAACTTCGCGTACATGTGGAAAACTCAGGAGAGTTTCTTTTTTCTTGGTCTTTTGTATCTTCTCCGGCACATGCTTTATTTTCTCTTTTCCGTTTTTTAGACGTGTTCGTTTTATCAATTTGAGTTTTTAATTTTAAATTTTTATAGTAAAAAATTTTTAAAAAATATTACATTTAATTTTTTCTGTTACAATAAAAAATTTTTAAAAAATATCACATCTTAATTCGAATTGAAAATTTAAATCTACGAAATAAACGAAGCCTTAATTTTCTTTATATATTGCATTCCTACCCTTTGGTGGTAAAGTAATCGTATTTAATTTGATGGAGATTTTCGCCAAGTTCTTCTATAAGCGAAAAAAAGATGAATAATAAATACAAATGTAGTAATATCATATTTATGATCAACATTTATGAAAATAAGGTTGACTAAAAATATGAGAGTTACCACATCCTGAATTCACTACATTTCTACTTTTCTTTGGTATGGAAAATAAGAAGAGTACAGTGATGATTATATAAACTTGCTAACTCTAAAAAATAATGATGTTGATGAAATAAATAATTTATTGACAAATCAATTTCCTGATGATCAAATTGAACATCTCTAAATACTACTGAACAATATTATGAAGAAGATTTTTTAAATACTTTAACACTAAGAGGAATTCCTCCCGACGAATTAATTCTAAAAAAATTATCTAATTATTGACTTTGCAATATCTTAACCCCTCTGAAGGACTATGTAATGGAACACAATTAATTTATCGACATTTTCAACTAAATGTTATTTGAGTAGAAATAGCTACAGGATATTATGTTGGAAGAAAAATATTTTTACCTAGAATTTCCATTTATACCAATAAAAAAATAAAAAATTTCTATTCCCATTTATAATTATAAAAAGTTTCATTGTATCTAGAGCCAAAACAGCTGAGAGTATAAAAATTCTTATTAAACCTGTTATTCCAAGTGTATTTACTCATTTATATACAAAAAAATATTTGCTATGAAGAAATATTATCACTGACAAATTACAGCCCATGAAAACAATTTCCAATCCATTTAACGTTGCAACAAACTAAATAGAAAAATTATAAGCAACAACGAAATTAGTGTGAAAGTACGTCTGTTTTTTTCTTTCTTTTTTCTTTTTCTTTTTGGCTGATCGAAAGTAAGTACGTCTTTTAATCTACCTTGTTTTCTCTTATTTTTCTTTTCCGATTTCATGATTTTTCTTTCAGGTTGAACCGAAAGCTGCCCTCAACATGTGCATCATGGCCCTCAATTTGCTTTTTCTTTATAAGACGTTATATGAGCTGGTAAGTGCCATTGGCACGTACCACAACTAGTTCTGTAAAAAGAAACCATTTTCATAAGTCTGGCATCATCTTGATAGAACGACAGTGAATCAAAAATGGCAACATCTGATACGACAACTAAGAAAACGACAGACTTTGAAAAAGACGGCAAATACAACTAGATATTATACAACGTCACGTGATCATCAGGAAACGACAACGGAAGAAACAGATCATAGATTAGTAACGACATGATCTTCAAAATACGACAGTAGCTTAGTAGGGATAATAGCTTAATTCCTAGGGTTACATACTCAGACAGAAACGACAACATTTCGAAGAAGTGAAAATAGAAAATGATAATAGAACAGCGACATCTTCTTAAAAGAAATAAAAAAGCAAAATACAAATGAGTAAGAGGGTGTTTGGTATGAGGGTTCGTGTTATGATTCAAATCATAGTTCGTGATTCGTTATAATATTTTCTCTCACAAAAAACACACGTAAAATGAAAATAGATATGAATCATAATTTTAAATCCGTAAACTAAAAGTGTACTAAACAACTTAAACAGTAATTCAATAAAAAAAGAGACAATAAACTAAAAATGATACCAACTTAAAAAGAACAGCAACTGTGAAGTGACCGCAGTTTCACAATACGGCAATAACTGAAAAACGGCATTAGATTGAAAAGATGACAACTCAAACAACAATGATAGACGATGACATGAATGGAAGATGTGAGCCTCGTTCATTTCACCGATTCGAGTTTTCAGTTTTAGATTTTTACAGTAAAAAGCTCTCATAAAATATCATATCCAATTTTTTCTGTTACAGTAAAAAACTTTCAGAAAATGTCACATCTTAACTCGAATTAAAAACTCAAATCCATAAAGTTAACGAGGCCGTATTGATGTAAAATATTTTAGTCAGCAACATACATAAAATGTGAGTATTATTCTTCCTTGTACTTTTTGATGTCAAAGTGGGTCAGCATTATAACTTCTTTTTTTCTTTTTCTCTTTTTTCTTCTTCGTCAATGACCAGTGGAAGAATTGATACTTTCCTCTTATTTTACACTGAAATTGTGTTTTTCTTTCTTTGAATTGAAGGAAGACCTTCTGAGAAAAGCGAAACGAGCCCTACCTAAATAAATCAATCAACTAGTACTAAGAGGTAAGTAAGCCTTTTGCTTTCTGACTTTTTACCCCTAAAGCGTATTGAATTGTCCGTCAATATTTACTTGTTATAGCATGTCCTACAGTCCTAGGTTTTCTTTATATATATATA